GATTTGGCAAACAGGATCAGTCAAAACCATGTCTAATGCCCGGGGGACCCGTCTGATAAATCAGACGTCCTCAGAACCTAGCAAGAGCCCTGTTTCAGCAGGGTTTGAAAATTTGTTACACTGATGTCTCAGGGTATAATATTCAAAACAAGCAGAAACCCTGATATATCAGTTTTTTCAACAAGGGTAACACTGATAATCAGGTTTTTGATCATGTGCAACACTGATCGCAAGGGTTGGTAAAAACAAAAAATTAGCCCTGGTCCGGACATCCCAACGCCACGCGCACAACAATTCGCCGAGATTCTGCAAGCTGCCCGCACCAGAGCCGTCGAAGCAATTAAAAAAGCCAACGTCATCGCTAAACGCAACGATGACCGCCAACGCCGCCCAGTCACGTACCAGTCAGGAGATTACGTACTGCTCGACACACAGAACTTAAGACTGTCCGTCGTGCCAAAATCACGACTGCGCTACTGTGGACCATTTCAAATCAGCCACATGATCACCCCAGTTACCGCTCATTTACTGTTGCCGACTGGCTGGTACATCAGCCCATCATTCCACGTAAGCCTGCTTCGCCCTTACATCCCGACCACGAGCCAACTGCCTCGTCACCGCCCGCCATCCATGACTCGCCCTGCATCGGACCGCACGCCAACTGAGGATAGCTGGGTGCCCCTGGCCAACATCGAAAACCACCCTGCCCTGCAAGTGTACCTAAGGAGCCGTGGTTTCCACGATATACACGCACTCGCGTAGCGGAGGGGGCTTCTTGAGGGGGGGGGGGGGGGGGTAGTGTAAGGAATTTTCTCGCTATTCCTTACCGCGACCGTCAACATCGCGTACAGCAGCAGCCGTTGTTCGCCCGTTACTGCTAACGGGGCTTCACCAACTTCGCGCGCACTGTTTCACCAAACCTCGCACTTTTGGAGCAGCCGAGTCGGCCTACGCTTCGGGACTAGCCCGAACCTCGCGCCAGCGTAGCACTAGCTAGCTCGCACGCACCGCGTTACCGTTTGCACATTTTCGCGTATAAGTATTCGCTCATGCCTTCGCTCATTCTTTGTACTCATTGAACACTTAAGTGCAATCCTTGCTACCTAGATTCATTGCTACCTTGAACAACTTTTAACAATGATAAAATATAGAAGAAATGCTGGAGAGCTGCTGTTCAAAAGATAGTTTGAGGGGGTGTCCAGCTCGTACATTTACTGTTCGTAAGCCCGCTCAGTTACCACATTTTTTGTTGTAACACTGTATTGAACGTGTCCTGCGGACACAATCAGCTTTCGTTCACAAAACGGCACGCCCCCTGCACGTACCTCATGTCGTCTGACTCACGTTACTGGAATCAGCGGGGACACGAACAAGGGTACAGCACCCGCGTCCTGGCCACTACAGTAGCGCCCCCTGTATCGCTTGCACAATTTCGCCAGTAGCTCGCTACACTCGTCAACACACCCCCCGCCTGCCCAAAAATTCGTTAGCTATGATTGACGACGGAAACAGTTACCTCGTTTTGAACGCGATCAGAGCACTGTTGATTCGTGTGGCGGAGAACGTGTCCGCGCTCCTGAAATTACATGTTTGGTGGGACTCAACTCACAATGCATTCGTTTTTAGGTACAGTGAATATTTTTGAACCTCGAGACGTGTGTTGGCACTAAAAACCCCGAAATGAACGAACTGGACACCCCCTGAGTCGGGTTTCGGTTTAGAGGTAGTTGCTGACGCGTGAGGAGCACTTGCGGACCAGCTTCGCTCACGGCACCTGGGATTCTGGGTGTGCTCAGATTGAGGGGCCTTTTCTGGATTGGGCTGTGAATGCAATACAGTACATGTAGTGGGTGGCAGTTTCCTGCTTGCACTTGCCCGGCTCACAATTGATGTACTTTAGCGGTTGGCTACGAGCTGTCCACTATAGAGCTGTATATTCCCTTTACCGCTTTGAACCGCTTTTTACCAGCCTTACTTGTGAAACATGAGCTGCAACGAACGTGCGACCCGCCCTAAACTGCGATAAAACCCTTACTGGTACAACGCGCCTCCCTCACTTTCGTTCGTGGTGCTGGCAAGAAAAGAGCGGGGACGAACGACACGCCAACACGATCATTGAGGAAGCAGACTTGTGAGGTGGGGGCGAGAGGGTGGGGGGAGGGGGGGGTGCGAGCAGTGTCAAGACCTTGGACTATTTTTCAGGTCAGTACTAGCTGCCCTTCTTGTGTAAGTGCTTTCGTCCAACAATAGTGGACTACGCTGAAGTGAATCAATGGTTGTTGAGTGGCTTCCGAGGGGTGTGGGAAGCTTCAATTCAACAGCCAATGTTGTACTGTCAACCTCCCAGAAAGAGGGTCGACTTGCCGCAACTTGAGCGTAGGCAGTTTACGACTGAGGGCTTGGTAGATTGTAGATCGACGGCAAAACATCGATCCTCCACCATACTGTAACTTTGTTTAGCGCATATCCAGCGCCCAGATCCTAAGATTGTTATTTTCATCGCAAGCACCCCAGAATATTCGTGAGGGTGTTTATCCAGGGTTCATGGCGTGAACGACGCACTGTAGGACAGATTCTCTTATGGTTGCTCACAATCATGGTGTCCTGGCAGTTTGTTGCGCGTAGCAATCAATTTGTCACGCCGTTTGTCCGTATTTTGGACTGTACTTCAGCGAATGAGAGAGTCGGGAACTTGGCAAACAGTAACCAAACGACCTTCCATACCGCGTCATGGGGGTTAGCGCTCCGCAGTCGCCAATGTGCCGTACGCGGAGCGGCTCGCTGGGAAATTGAGCGCACACGCGGAGACATTGGAATTTGCACTCAAATTTGAGTGTACAGTAGACAGTCCTGCCTCGTGCATTCCCCCCGTTGTTCGCAAGAAGTTGCGTGACAGTAGCTCATGATACGCGGAGCCATCCGTGCTGGCACATGCTGCAAGAAAGCCCTACATATAGAAGCCGCTGCATATAACGCCAAGTACCTCAAATCTCGAAATAGAAACGCAGCAACAGCCTGAATCAGCCGCGACCCTTGCGTCACCCCGTACGCATATAAATGCTCACGGCAGCGCCGTTGGTGATCGTCGTATTTGACACGATATATTTTTTTGCCGTGAGACAGTCATACGATTTTTCGCGATCAGTCGAGCTGATCGTGTGCTTCGGCCGCGCTTGTTGATCCGCCTACAAGCTATTTTACCATAGAGTTACGTTCGCAGCTGAGTTGATCCACAGAGTTTAATGCGGCCCGTGCCGGATTTTTTGTGACGTGCTCCCCTTCCATAATAGCGCGTTTATTTCCTTAATATAGCGCGATTTGTTCCGTAATTGCACGATCGTTACTATGGACCCGTACTGGGAGTGGGACGACTGCGACATTGGCATGGTCCTCGTCAAGCAAGAAAGCGACGCCGCTTCCGCCGCCGCCACAGCCGCCGCTGCATCCGCCGCACCCAGCGGCGGGGAGCAAGGTGATGCCGCGGGACGCGGAATCGTCATGGAATGGACACCCGCAACGTTGGCGGCAGTTCCGGCAGCAGGAGCATCCGCGGAAGCATCGGGAGCGGCGCTGGTGGCGGCATCCCCGCCGGGTGGGTTCCGTCGCCCGGCACTGACTCCGCTCATTACCCCCCCAAAGGCGGCGACGGCGGCGTCTCATCGTCCCCCTTCCCCCCTCACCAGCGGCGGCTGCCGCGAGTTTTCCGCCACCTCTGCCGCTGGCTCGGCACCGAGCCATTATGGGGCTGGTTCGGGGGGGCCGAGCCCCTCTGGCTCGGGACCCAGCCTTGCAGGCTCGGCACCCAGCCCCAGAGGTTCGGGCCCCAGTCCTGCAGTATCCACCGCCGCATCACACGCAGAGGCAGAAGCAGGGGCAGTGCTGTGTCCTTCTGAAACCGTACGACGGCAAGGAACCGTACCCAAGACACACAGCTTGAAACTGTACGTAAACTCAATGGTTTCTAGAGTTTGGTCATTTAGGAACCCTCAACTTCTCATCTCATCACCCCTCATCTCATCACCCCTCATCTCATCACCCCTCGTCTAATCACCCCTCGTCTCATCACCCCTCATCTCATCACCCCTCATCTCATCACCCCTCATCTCATCACCCCTCATCTCATCACCCCTCATCTCATCGCCCCTCATCTCCTCACCCCTCGTCTCATCACCCCTCATTTCATCACCCGTCATCTCATCACCCCTCAATTCATCACCCCTCATCTCATCACCCCTCATTTCATCACCCCTCATTTCATCACCCCTCATCTCATCACCCCTCATCTCATCACCCCTCATCTCATCACCCCTCATCTCATCACCCCTCATCTCATCACCCCTCATCTCATCACCCCTCATCTCATCGCCCCTCATCTCCTCACCCCTCGTCTCATCACCCCTCATTTCATCACCCGTCATCTCATCACCCGTCATCTCATCACCCCTCAATTCATCACCCCTCATTTCATCACCCCTCATTTCATCACCCCTCATCTCATCACCCCTCATCTCATCACCCCTCATCTCATCACCCCTCATCTCATCACCCCTCATCTCATCGCCCCTCATCTCCTCACCCCTCGTCTCATCACCCCTCATTTCATCACCCGTCATCTCATCACCCGTCATCTCATCACCCCTCAATTCATCACCCCTCATTTCATCACCCCTCATTTCATCACCCCTCATCTCATCACCCCTCATCTCATCACCCCTCATCTCATCACCCCTGTCCTCTCCTCCTAGCCTTTCCTGCGGCAAAACCTTCTACCAGGCTTTATGTCCTCTCTCCTATCCTCTTACTAACCTTTCCTCTCCTCTCTTCTCCTCTTGCCTTCGCATTGCAGAACTGCACACCGTGCCAAGTACCTTGCACGTTCAAGGTCCCGGAGAAGCAGCACTGCTGCTACAGCACCTCCTGCTGCTGCCACCCCAGCTGCTACAGCCGCCGCCACTGCTTCCGCTGCTGCTGCTGCTGTCGCTACAGCTGCCGTCCCAGGAATGGGCGCTACAGAGATTGCAGCCACTCCGGACCATCCCCTATCCTTTTTCCGCTGCTCTGCTTCTGCTGGGGCGGTGTTAGATCGCCCCTCATCGGCTGGATCGATGATGGCACGCCCTGCTACAACTGGGGGTGTGTTGGATTGCCCCCCTCCCTCCCCTCCGTCCGTATCAGCATTCTTCTCCCTATGCTCTGCTCCCCAGCTGTCACCTCACGCCACACATGCTGTCTCTGCTCCTCCTGCCACAGCTGCTGCCACTGCCACTGCCACTGCTGCTGCTGCTGCTCTCACTGCCACTGCTGCTGCTGCTGCCACTGCCACTGCCACTGTTGCTGCTGCCCGAACCTGCAAGCGAGGCTTGGATACCACAGCAGACCACGACAGCGGTAGCAACCCTGGCACCTCCGGGCGGCGGAGCGGTGGCAGTGCTGGCTCCTCCGGGCGGCAGAGCGGGCGGCAGCGTGGCAGCAGTGGCGGGGTCAGCGGGCGGCAGAGGTACCAGTGGCTCCCGGTTGACTTGCCAGACGACGGGTACGACTGGTGCAAATACGGACAAAAACCGCTAGTGGTGGATTCCTGCTGTATCCGCTCCTACTACCGCTGCTTTCTCGGCGACCCCCGCCAGGTCAGCTTGCATCCTGACCGAGAACCCTGCCCGGCAAAAAAAATTGTTGACTGGAGGATCACACCGGGTGTTATCAGCAGCGCAGTTTCCTACGCGTCTACTAGTGGACGGTTGGAATCAGGAGCAGTAGCTGAAGCGGACCAGCCTTCTGCTGCTGGTTGCACCACTCTCCTCCCATCTGCTAACTCTACCCCTACTGGTGCTGATACTGCCGCTGCTGTCACTGGAGTCGCCCCTACTGCCCCTATCTCCCCTATAATCAACTACCTTAACGAGCATAACCATGAGGCACCGAATCCCCCTCACTCCCGCCCGCCCATCTCCCAGCGCTTGCATATCCCCCTTAGACGCCTCCCCGCTTCCGTTACAGGCTTGCTGATTCCTGGGAACGCTACACAAGGCTTGGATATGGCTCAGGAATTACCTCCGACTGAAAACGCCCCTGTGGGAGATTGGGTGCAGAAGAGGGAGGCTCGTGTATCGGACGGTTGTGGTGGTAACCATGTTACAGTCAAAAGTGAGGGTGTGAGCATGGGAGGATCCACAATGGGAGCGGGAGCAGTGGGGACTTGTCAACCTTCAGGTTTTGGTGTGGGTTGTGTGGGTAGTGTGGGTGGTGTGGGTGCTGGTCAGATGGATGGACAGGGGGAGCTGGTGGGAGGAGGGATGTTTACAGAAAATCTGGACCTTTTGAGAGGAAAAGAGTCAGTGCAGCAGCAGCAGTGTTGGATAGCAGGGAGTGATGTGGCAATGGGAGGCATGTCATTGCCTTTGGTGGACACATGGCAGCAGCAGCAACAGCAGCAACAGCAGCAGCAGCAGCAGCAGCAGCAGCAGCAGCAGCAGAAGAAAAGGGAGAAGGAAGAATTGTCAATCTCAGCACTGCCAGCAGGCCTTCAGACGTCCCAGAGCGCATTTCCAGCAGTGGCGACAGGAGCAGAGGTAGAATCAGGATTTGGCATGGCATGCCCTTTTGAAACCACCTCCAAAGAAGCAGCAGCGGCAGCAGCATTGGCAGCAGCAGCGGTGGCAGGAGAGAAGGTAGAATCAGGAATTGGATTTGAGATGGAGTGTGCGGGAGCTGCGGCATTGCGGTCTCAGTCTCTCTTAGATCAATACCTGGAGCGACAGCAGCAGGAGCAGCCTTTCGAGTCGACTCAGAAGAAACAGAAGGAGGAGCAGCAGCAAGCATGGCACTCTCCACTGTGTTTCCCTGTGCTGTCATCCTCATCAGCCTTTACATCTCCCACCTTCTCTCCCTGCCTCCTCCCCTCTACCACTCTCCCCTCTATCGCTCTCCCTTCTTCTGCTCTCTCCTCTAGCGCTATATCTGACTCTGTTACCCGCATGCTCAGCCAGGTAACACCTTCCCCAGTCGCCCCTTCCCAGGCTGCCTCCTCACACGCCCTATCCTCGTTATTAACAGCTTCAGATGCTGGCGACCAGACTCCATCCATTCCATCCGGCTCCATTCCCTCCTCTTCTCCCCAACTTCCACTGCTTTCGAACCTCCAACTCCTATCCCCCACTGCAAACGCCCAAGCCTTCGCCTTTCCCTCACCCTCCCACTCCCACTCCCCCTCCCCCTCTCCCTCTCCCTCTCCCTCCCCCGGGCCGACCTCGCCTCTAGAGCCATCCTCCCCTGCCACTATCGCTGCTGCCTTCCCCTCGACCACCCCCGCTGCAGCTTTCCCCTCCACCAGCCAAGCACACACCCTCTCACCCCCTTCGTCCAACACCCGCCTCACTCCCGCCTTTTCCCTTCCTGCTAAGACCCATCCGCTCCCCGCAATCCCCATGTTACCTCAGAGCCGCAGCTCTCCTGCAGCTCCCTCCACAATCTGCAGCAGCAGCACCCGCACATGTCCGGCAGGAATTCAAGGAGGCTTGGCAGGAAGTTCGGCAGGAGGTTCGGCAGGAATTCGTGGCACAGCAGCAGCAACTGTGCGTGTGCAGCGAGCGCAGGATCTGGGGGTTACAGATGCTCCTTTGAGCTTGCTGCTGCTCGGCCGACGCAAGCAGCAGCAGCAGCAGCAGCAGCAGCAGCAGCAGCAGCAGCAGCAGCAGCAGCAGCAGCAGCAGCAGCAGCAGCAGCAGCAGCAGCAGCAGCAGCAGCAGCAGCAGCAGCAGCTTCAGCAGCAGCAGCAGCAGCAGCAGCAGCAGCAGCAGCAGCATTGGTGGGATGCGTTTGTCGATGCTGCTCCCCTCACACAACTGATGCCCCTGACAATGCAGAGTGAGGGCGAGGGTGAGGGCATGGAAATGGATAGCCACCCGTCACAAGAGACAAAGGATGCGCAGCAGCACTGAGCAACCTGGCCTGAATTATTTCTCCTCCGTCCACTCCTATCAACCAGCTCCATATCACTGCCTTCTGCTTCCTTCTATTGTACCCGACTTCCTCAACCTCCTTCCCATACTCGCTACAAGCGCGATGGAATGTGTTGGCACACGGCGCTTGTAGCTTTTTGCCGCTGCAATGTGGCATGAAGGAGTGTTTTTTCAAGTGTGACGATAGAGGGAGGGAGCTACTAACTTCGCAGGGCTGCAACCGCCGTGTGAAACATTCTTCTGGAAGGGTGACACCTTCCTGATTTCCTTCATATCTTTATTAAGTTCTCTTGTTACATGGAATGCCATATAACAAGTAAATTTTCCTGTTTTTGCTTTTGCTTTTTATTTGTACCCTCTGTTAAGAGTGCATCCTGCATGTTACTTTTGTTTAGTTATAAATAATGAAGTATCCTAAATGCTTGCTCCAATTACAACTTTGTTTGTGTGTTCACAAGGATAATTCTTTTAGCAACAACAAGCAAGCAGGCTCGAAGCTGGATGAATCCACAAGATGCATGTAAAGGAAAAATCATTTATGGTTTTTTTTTAGCTGGTTGAAGACTAAAAAACCAGGCAAGATAATACAAAATCGCACTATTAAGTTTAGCACTGGATTTCCCAAATACGAAATTGCGTACCCCCCATAATGCACTCCCTAACGCGGACAATACCTTGGGTGCCTCGTCCGCCCCATCCCCAGCCAAGGTATTGCCGCCATCATCGCCACTATCTAGGTTCGTCACCAGCAGCAGCACCTACCTTGGTCTACTGCCATACCTGTAACTCACGGAACATTTCCTGTCAGCTGTCTCTAACTATGAGAATAGTGAATAGCGAATAGGCACCATTAGCAGACTCTGCTCGCTCTCCCTCGGTGTGGGTGTCTTCTCGCACGTCCTCGCGGCCTGTTACCCTTTTTTGTAAATTTCGTGACTGCTCTCCAGCTTTCGTGAAATTTGACTCCCGCTTTCAGTCTTCCATTTTGAAGCTCTGTGATTCTAAAAACCGTCGGTTTGCCGGGATGGTTTGCTTTTGAGACGTCTCAAAACGGGTCAGTTTGGAAGAACACTTCCAATGATTGCAACGCTTTAGGGTTCCGTCTGTCGCTGCGTTTTCACGAACGTCGCAGCGGGCGTTAGCTTTCGATAGTAACATTTCTCCTGATTCAGTTGCTGCCGTCGTCGTAACGACTGTTCGCCGGCAGTCACGAGCATCAGAAGCCGTCCCTTTCGTCGCTAGCTTTCGTTACCTTTCGCCGGAGTTTCGCCAGCCGTCGCGATGGCGGGGAGCACGGACCTGACGAAGCAGGTGGAGGCGTTGCTGGAAGATCCGTCGCAGACGATTCTCATGGCGATGAAACTCTCCAAGAACCAGGCATCGTGGACCGTCGCCGGGCGACGCGGGCGGCTGCAGAGCAAACCGCGTATCCTCGCTATTGGCGGTGAGCAATGTCGTGTACTGCAGTTGCTGGAACAGTAATTTTAGGTTATTGTAGGTACGTCGTATGTATCATTGCTCCTACGGACGAGGCTGACTAGCAATGTCCGAAAATGAGTAGTCTCACTCTTTGGTCTTAGCTGATACATGCTGAATGTTGATGGTTTTCAGAATATTCCAAAGCTTTCCTCTTGGTGAAACCACGATCATGCAGTGCATAGTCATTAATGTTCCGGCATTTGAGGCATTGGCGATATGCAATTTAGGCACAGTTCCGACACTGACTAGCTCTAGGTCGCATTTACTCTCGGTCGGGTCCTTTTGTTAACTATTTTTTTGACGTCCTCCCCATCTCATTGAGTAATAGTTCTTTCATGATTCTCGCAATACATGTCGCTAGGGTGAAATTCTTGACTCAATCCTGAAGCTTGTTGTGACTATCTCAATCCTCACCGGCAGTGAGGCGCAAGGAGAACACGGGGAAACAGAAGCCAAAAATCCACATCATCAAGCCCGGACCTCAAGGACTAGAGGTCGGCGCTTTTGATTATTTTTGTTTTGTACGGTTTTGTTTTTTGTTTCAATCATCCCCGCACCTCCTCCTGATGTTGCTATCATATTACCAATTCTGGAACTGGCAATTGTCTTCCAAACCTGCCAGACCTAAAGCTTCCTGCTCAGCCCATCTGACTCTGCTTATGCAGTCCAGCAGCAGTCGTCTCGACTCTCACCCAGCTCCACCTCTCTCCTTATCTCCCTCCCCCCTTCTTCACCTTCCTTCCTTTGTCCCACCCTCCCTTCCCACCACCCCTCCCCGCGCCTTCCCCTCCCCCACGTCGTTCCCCTACCCACGCCGTCCCTTCCCCCCCTCTCTCCCCCTTCTCTCCTCTCCCTCCCCCCCCCCCCCCCACACGCTCCCTCCCATGCCGCAAACCCCCCAACCCCCCCCCCCCCCCCCCCCCTCTCTCACACACACACAGCTGCTCAAGTCATACCGATTGGGAGCCCTCACGAGCATTGAGCTAGTCACCAGTGACACCACAGGCCGCTCCTTCCTCTTGGTAGGCCTCTTTTTCACCCATTCACTCACTTACTCACTCTCCTCCTAGGCACTCGCCCTCTTACGAGCATCTCATCTCATCTCATCTCATCTCATCTCATCTCACTCACTCACTCGCTCACTCGCGAGCATGAAGCTGGTGCTTCTTTTGAACGTCTCAGAAGAACACGTGCATGTGTGGCATCTCATTTCATTATCTCCCTTCTCACCGCTTTCTTCTTCCTTCGTCTCTCCACCAATGGCGTGCTGCCAGGTGTTTGACGAGAAAACGGACAGCTCACAGCCTCAATGGACCACAAGGACAGTCGACGACAGGTGTGCCGTCTCTCACACATGTGCACACAGACATGCACACACATGCATGCACATGCGCACTGAGAGCTAGCCTCAATGAACCACAAGGACAGTCGACGACAGGTGTGCCGTCTCTCACACACGCACATGCATGCATGCATGCACACACGCACTTGATAGTTGCCTCAATGGACTAACAGGACAGCTCACAGCCTCAATGGACCACAAGGACAGTCGGCGACAGGTGTGCCGTGCCGTCTCTCACTTATACATGCATGCACACACTCACGTCCACACACATGCACACAGGCAACTTAAAAGTTGCCCATTCGACGACAGGTCTGCTCTCTCTCACTCGCGCACATGCAGGCCTGGCATCTGATCACGTCGTCCCCATCGCCGCCCTCTATCCCAACCCGCAGGAACCAGCTCGTATTTCTGCTGCTCAAGATGTGCAAGAACTACCTCATGAGGTTTCTGATGCGCCTCTTACCCTCACATCCCCTCTCTTCTTTTCCTGCGTCTGACCTGACCTCACTCCAACTGCAGGAACCAGCTGGTGTTTCTGCTGCTCAAGATGTGCAAGGACTATCTGAAAACGCTCCCCAAAGTCATTGGGCTCGATGTGGTCGACCTCGCGCTGTGGGCCAAGGTGGGTTGCGGTGGAGTGGGTACGGTGGGACGGGGTGGGGTGGGGTGGGTGGGGTGGGGTGCTGTGGGGTGTGGTGCGGTGTGGGTGCAATTCGTGTGCAATTCGTGTGTGAACTGGTGTCTTTCTGGGATAGATTAGTTGTTGCACCTCAAGACGTGCAAAAACAAACTAACCCCACATCCCTCCCCAACCTCTTGCTGTGCAAAAAGTCGTTGCCAAGGGAAGGGAGGCTGATGGAGGAGGGGGGGGGCTGGATTATGAAACCTTTTCTGATCGGCTTTCACCGTTCTCTACCCCTACCCTACCCCCATCCCCAACCGTGTAGAAAAACGCCAAGTCATTGCCAGGAGGAGCACGGCTGACAGAGGAAGGGGAGGGCGAGGCGGTGGGGGTGGAGAGCGAGTCGATGATGGCGCAGGACAGCCTGGTGTCTAAGGTGGAGGAGGAGGACATGGAGGCGCTGCTGGGCACGTGAGTGTGGTTCTATGTGGAGAAAGACGCTGGGGCAGCCCTGCGTCCTGCGTCCGGACGCAAAGACGCAGGACGCGCGTCCGGACGCAGGACGCACCCTGGAAAATTTTTCGGGCAGACCGAGATTTTTTTTTTTCGCGATCGCGAAATTGACATTCGCGATTTCGTCGCGAATGTCAATTTCGCCAAAATTCGACACCCCCCAAGCAAATTCGACCCCCAAAACCAGCCATCTAATTCACCTTGCTATGAAAGTGTGTTCCCCCCCCCCCCCCCCCCCCCCCTCTTACCCCCTCTTCCCTCTGCCCTATAATTTTTTTTTGGCTGCCCGGGGGTTTTTTTTTGGCTGCCCGGACCTGCGTCTTTTGCTGCGTCTCGGGGGCCCTAAACTAGCGTCCAGCGTCTGGACGCATGCGTCCAGGACGCTGGACGCGTCTTTCTCCACATAGGTGTGGTTCAGTGCGGTGAAAGCCGGTTCAATGTGGTGACAGCCGGTTCAATGTGGTGGGAACAGGTTCAGTGCGGTGAGAGCAGGTTCAAGGTGGGAGTGGATGGCGAGGCGGTGGGGGTAGAGAGTGAGTTGATGATGGCGCAGGACAGCCTGGTGTCCAAGGTGGAGGAGGAGGACATGGAGGCGCTGCTGGGCATGTGAGTGCGGTTCAGGGGCGTTGAAAGTGCCGGTTTAGCGTGGCGACAGCCGGTTCAGTGCGGTGACAGCAGGTTCAGCGCGGTGACAGCAGGTTCAGTGCATAAAAATCAGGCTACCGTAAGCATCGCCTAATCACATAGCCGAAGGTACGTGTTGCCTGACTTGCCATCCGTGTATACTTCTTGTACCCCCACTTCCCTCCACCTCTTCTTTCCTCCCCAACTATGTGATTGGAATTGACGAGGCAGAGGCATTCAGCGAGCGGCTGAAGAGGGAGCTGGGGGCATTAGAGTGACCGACTGAAGCAGGCACTCAAGCTCTGAAACCAGCTTATTACTGTCACTGCTCACTTCCTCTGTATCTCTCCTACTCCCCTCCGTCTTCTCTTTCCCTACACAGCTATGTGATTGGAATTGACGAGGCAGAGGCGTTCAGCGAGCGGCTGAAGAGGGAGCTGGGGGCATTGGAGGCCGCGAACGTTCATGCCATTCTGGAAAGCGAGGCACTGGTGGAGGAGGTGAGTGGGACAAAAGGGAGGATGAGGAAGATTACCGTTTTGTTTGTTTATTTGTCTTTTTTTCTTTTTCTTTTTTGGGGGGGGGGCGAGAGGGAGGGGGGGGTTGCACTTGCGTTTTCATTTGCTCAAAGTTTATGCATTTCCTCGGTACTGTATGGTTGTTGTGCTGACGTGGCACTGGCAGGTGGTTGACAGCCTGGACGAGGCGGCGGGACGAGTGGAGGACATGGAGAACTGGCTGAACGTGTTCAACGTGAAGCTCAAGCACATGCGCGATGACATTGAATCGGTGCGTGGGTGACACTGAGTCAGTGAGTAAATGGTAGAAAGGTGGAATGATTGGTCCTCCCGTCCTCCTCCTGCCCTCACACCCCCCCACCCCTCTTCCCCCTTCCCCCTTCCCCCTTCCCCTCCCCACCAGACAGAGGCACAGAACAACATGCTGGAAATGCAGGCGGAGAACAACAAGAAGCTGCTGCAGGATCTCTTCTTCCCTCCCTGCCTTGCCCTCTCCCCATGCCCTCGCCCTCCCCTACCCCCTCTCCCGCACGCCCTCCCTACCCCCTCCCCACCAGATAGAGGCGCAGAACAACATGCTAGAGATGCAAGCAAAGAACAACAAGAAGCTCCTAGAGGAGCTCGAGACGCTCCTCGAGTCGCTCTACATCCCGCCGCAGTGCATCCGCGTGCTCTCCTCGGGCTCCCTGGACGAGCAAGCCATGCCCAACACGCTCGAGGCCGTGGGGTGGCTGGTGGATGCCGTGAAGAAGCTGGAGCCTCCGCAGCTGGACCAGAATTACGTCAACATGCGCGCGGTATGTGCATGCATGCATGTGTGGATGTGTGCATGGCATAGAGAGTGCATGCCGTAGGGAACGTATCCGTGTGCTCTCCTCGGGCTCCCTGGACGAGCCCGCCATGCCCAACACGCTCGAGGCCGTGGGATGGCTGTTGGACGCCGTGAATAAGCTGGAGCCGCCTCAGCTGGACCAGAACTACGTCAACATGCGTGCGGTAGGGCATTGGGCAGGGTTTCATGCTTGTGTCATGTATGCATGCATGTGCGTATCAGGCAGGCATGAGCACGGGCTGGTGGGTGCGTGAAGAAGCTGGAGCCACCTCAGCTGGACCAGAACTATGTCAACATGCGTGCGGTAGGGCATTGGGCAGGGTTTCATGCTTGTGTCATGTATGCATGCATGTGCGTATCAGGCAGGCATGAGCACGGGCTGGTGGGTGCGTGAAGAAGCTGGAGCCACCTCAGCTGGACCAGAACTACGTCAACATGCGCGCTGTATGATAAGATAATGGACAAGGAGGGAAGTGCAGGTGTGCATATGCATGTGCGTACTAGGCATGAGTGTGGGGTGGCTGGTGGAGGCAGTGAAGAGACTGGAGCTGCCTCAGTTGGACGAGAACTACGTCAACATGCACGCTGTAGGACAGTGGGCTGGGAGGGTGATATACGTGCATGTATGTGTGCATCTGAATTTGTATGCATGCATGCATGCATGCATGTTAGCATGTTACTACTCAAATCAGTATCTCTTCAGTCCATGCGGGAGAAGAAGGTGGAGAGCTAGACAGCTTGAAGAACAGCTATGTACACCAGGTCACCATTTTCAATCCATTCTTTGTTCCATTTCTCTCTCAACATGTCAACCAACCCCCCCCACCCAACCCAAACCCACCCTCATCCGTTACTCCCTTTCCCCACCCCAGGTGCGGGAGAAGAAGGCTGAACTCGACAGCTTGAAGAATGGCTTCGTGCGGCGGGCCACTGATTTCATTCGCTCCTTCATCTCCTCCACCGTCGAGGCTGCTGCGGTACGGCTGGGCACGGGGATGCGCAGATAGGGTAACTGGTTGGGGTAATTTCATGAACCACGTTGAAGCAAGACAAGGATTGCTGGTGGTAATCGCAAATCTTCCTTATGTAAATTCGAGTTTTTATTTCATATGAGACAACACCGATGATGAAGTTGCCTGACAGCGGGAGTTTAGAAGAGTTGGTGCCTCATATGAAATAAAAACTCAAAAATCACATAAGGAAGAATTGCGGTTACCACCAGCGTTCCTTGTCTTGCTTCAATGTGGGTCTTAGCTGGGCAGCGGGATAGGTTTGATTGGCTGGGCAGCTAACAATTCCTGCAGATCCCTCCACCCACCATGCAAAACACCTGTCTTGCATCACTTTTCTCTTCTTCCTTTATCTCCATATCTCTTCTCCCATCCCTTTCCTATCCATCATCATCCCAATGTGATTGTAACAGAAGTAATATCCTCCTGTTACTGTGCCATTCCTTCCCGCCGTTCCCCCTCCCAATGTGACTATATGGGGAGCAGAAGTCTCAGAGGGGCCCGCCTGATCATAGGGAGCTGCACCGAAGATGGTCTGCCTACACCCAGCTCATCCACTGCCTTAAGGTGACGATAACGAGGATGACTATAACGAGGTTGACTATAATAAAGATGTCTATAACAAGGGCAATCCATCCCAACATTCGCCGGACAAACATTCACTCACCCACTCAACATGCTGCTCACCCCAGGACCTGGACCCCCAACGTGCTCAGATGTTTCACGACCAACCCCCTTCCTGCATCTTCCCTCCCGTTCCGCCTGCTCCTCTCTCCCTTCGTCCCTCCCTCTGCAGGAGCTGGATCCCAACGTGCTAGACAACATTCGGCGGACGTACATCCACTCACTCAACATGCTGCTCAGGCGCGAGGTGAGAGAGGTGCACGTGGCATGCCGTACGGTGCAGGTGGCATGTAGATGATGCGTGATGATTCAACCCTTCCTTGAACAGACGTACATCCACTCACTCAACATTCTGCTCAGGCGCGAGGTGAGACATTGGTGGCTTGTTCGATTGTATTTTTGGCTAGTAGGGTTCTCAACTGAAGTCCACTCCGTGCATCGACCCGAGTCTCAGTCAAGACCAACACAGCCCTTCCCTTCCTCAAGCAGCTTCCGCAGCGCGCTAACTGTTGCCTTACGTCACTCTCTTTCCTTCCCGTCTCTCAGGCTCGTGAGTTCTCCACAGATCTCCGTGCATCGGCGCGTGTCTCAGCCAAGGCCAGCACAGCTCCACCTGCTCTGGAGCAGGGCAGCGCTGCCTCCCTTTGACTGCATGCTAACTGCCCCCTTATTGCCCAACCTGCCCACCTCTCAGGCTCGTGAGTTCTCCACCGATCTCCGTGCATCAGCGCGTGTCTCCGCCAAGACCAGCACGGCCCCGCCTTTCCTTGAGCAAGGCAGTGCTGCCCTGCCGCCTGCTGCTGACTCCCAAGCTGCCAGCGACGCCTTTGCCAAGATGCTCCGCGCGTTCCTGCCCTTGATTTCTGAAGAGGTGAGTTTCTGAGGGTGTGAGTCTAGTAGTTTGCTGCTGGCTGAAAGCTGTGGAGTGCTACGTTTTCCTTGATACACAGCGGCTCCTTTGCTTCTCAAAATATCTTCACAGTCGACTTAAAAGTCCCCTTTCGCTCCCCCCTCCTTCCCACCTCCCTTGTCTTCGCCCACTACAGTGTCTGTTCTCCCAGCAGTCCTGTGGTTCTTAAGGTGACGCCTGAGTCGAGTCGAATCGAATATAAAATCCTTGCCCCTCTGTTTTCCTCTCCCCTACTTCGGTGTTCGCCTGGGTTCGTTCGGACAGGGTCTGTTCTTCCTTCCAGTAGTTCCTCTGCTTCTCCCCAGCAGACCTTGAAGTTGACTCCGTTTCCCTCTCTCCCCCTCCGTTTTCCCCTCCTCTCGCTACCCCCCACCCCTTGTGTTCTCCTGGGTTCTTATGTACAGGGTCTCTTCTTCCAGCAGTTCCTCTGCTTCTCCCCAGCAGCAGACGACGATGAAGAGCCCTTGTGTGAGTGTGCTTGACCATGCGTGTGTAGGTGCCCTTGTGTGAGTGTGCTTGACCATGCGTGTGTAGGTGCCCTTGTGTGAGTGTGCTTGACCATGCGTGTGTAGGTGCCCTTGTGTGAGTGTGCTTGACCATGCGTGTGTAGGTGCCCTTGTGTGAGTGTGCTTGACCATGCGTGTGTAGGTGCCCTTGTGTGAGTGTGCTTGACCATGCGTGTGTAGGTGCCCTTGTGTGAGTGTGCTTGACCATGCGTGTGTAGGTGCCCTTGTGTGAGTGTGCTTGACCATGCGTGTGTAGGTGCCCTTGTGTGAGTGTGCTTGACCATGCGTGTGTAGGTGCCCTTGTGTGAGTGTGCTTGACCATGCGTGTGTAGGTGCCCTTGTGTGAGTGTGCTTGACCATGCGTGTGTAGGTGCCCTTGTGTGAGTGTGCTTGACCATGCGTGTGTAGGTGCCCTTGTGTGAGTGTGCTTGACCATGCGTGTGTAGGTGCCCTTGTGTGAGTGCTTGACCATGCGTGTGTAGGTGCCCTTGTGTGAGTGTGCTTGACCATGCGTGTGTAGGTGCCCTTGTGTGAGTGTGCTTGACCATGCGTGTGTAGGTGCCCTTGTGTGAGTGTGCTTGACCATGCGTGTGTAGGTGCCCTTGTGTGAGTGTGCTTGACCATGCGTGTGTAGGTGCCCTTGTGTGAGTGTGCTTGACCATGCGTGTGTAGGTGCCCTTGTGTGAGTGTGCTTGACCATGCGTGTGTAGGTGCCCTTGTGTGAGTGTGCTTGACCATGCGTGTGTAGGTGCCCTTGTGTGAGTGTGCTTGACCATGCGTGTGTAGGTGCCCTTGTGTGAGTGTGCTTGACCATGCGTGCGTAGGTGCCCTTGTGTGAGTGTGCTTGACCATGCGTGTGTAGGTGCCCTTGTGTGAGTGTGCTTGACCATGTGTGTGTAGGTGCCCTTGTGTGAGTGTGCTTGACCATGCGTGTGTAGGTGCCCTTGTGTGAGTGTGCTTGACCATGCGTGTGTAGGTGCCCTTGTGTGAGTGTGCTTGACCATGCGTGTGTAGGTGCCCTTGTGTGAGTGTGCTTGACCATGCGTGTGTAGGTGCCCTTGTGTGAGTGTGCTTGACCATGCGTGTGTAGGTGCCCTTATGTGAGTGTGCTTGACCATGCGTGTGTAGGTGCCCTTGTGTGAGTGTGCTTGACCATGCGTGTGTAGGTGCCCTTGTGTGATTTTACCTGTGTGCTTGCATATGCATGCACATGCCTGCCTGTGCTTGTGCGCTCATGCTTAGACCAAGCTAGCCGTATGCTCTCACTCTCTCACATTAACCCACCCCCACACACACCACAACCCCACTCTTCAGCGGAGGAGGATGCAGCAGCGCTGGCAGCAGCAGCGGGGCAGCTATTAGAGGGCATGTACCCCCACTCCCCATTCTCTACTCCCTTCCTCCCTGTTACAATTCCCTTCCCTCAGCGGACGAGGATGCAGCAGCGGAGCAGCTGTTTGAAGGAATCCATGAGGACTTTGCTGCCATTGTGGAGTGGGTCTTCAAGGTCGACCCCCGTCCCCCCTTCCCCCCACTCCCTCCCCTCCAGCTGATGAAGATGCGGCAGCACTGGCAGCAGCAGCGGAGCAGCTATTCGAGGGAATCCATGAGGACTTTGTGGCGATGGTGGAGTGGGTGTTCAAGGTGGACCCTCTGCGCTGCATCACTCTCGTGGGGCACACGGAGGCGTGGCAGCAGCAGCAGCAGCAGCTGCAGTTGCAGCATGGGGCTGATGCCGGGGGGTGTGGAGCCGTTATTACCAGGAAGCTTCTGCTCGAGCTGGAGACGAGAATCAGGCAGAATTTCTTCCGAGTAAGTGGGAGGAGTGAGTGAGGGATGTTTGAGGGTGAGTATTCAGGTTTTGGGTGGTGAGGGAGGGGGTAGCAGCAGAGCAACTATTCAGCTATACGGCTGGGGCGTCAAGCAGGCGGGCGTGATGTCCTACCCTACGTGCCTCTCTCTTGTGATGAGTCTGTTTTTGAGTCGACTCAAGAACAGCAGGGGGGCGTGATGTACTACCCTACGTGCCTCTTTTCTCTTGCTAAAAGCCTCTCCCCCCCCCCCCCCCCCTCCCCCCTCCCCACCACGGCACACTCACAGTACGTGGAGGAGGCTAATGGGCGGATTGAACGGTACGACAGAGGCGTCAAGCAGGCGGGCGTGCTGTTGTACGTGCCTTATTCACGACTTACCCCCACCTCTCCCGCTTCCCCCACCCTGCGCCTGTCCCTTTGTTCCTCTCTCCAGTACGTGGAGGAGGCGAATGGGCAGATCGAGCGGTACGACAGAGGCGTGAAGCAGGCGGGTGTGCCTTTATTCAACCCATCCCTCTTCCTCCCTCCCCCCTGCCAACCCCAGTATGTGGAGGAGGCGAATGGGCAGATCGAGCGGTACGACCGGGGCGTGAAGCAGGCGGGCGTGCTGTCGTACGTGCCTCTACTCTTGAGTCGACTCAAAAGTCACTATGTGCCTCTACTCGCCACTTACCCTCACCTCTCCCCCTTCCCCCACTGCGCCTGTCCCTTCGTTCCTCTCTCCAGTATGTGGAGGAGGCGAATGGGCAGATTGAGCGGTACGACCGGGGCGTCAAGCAGGCGGGCGTGCTGTCGTACGTGCCTCGCTTTGCAGCGCTGGCGGTGCGAATGGAGGGGCTGGTCATGGGCTCGTGCAGAGACCTGGTGGACCAGGCTTATAACAAGCTGGTGAGGCGTGGGGGGAGGGGACGATGGGGCAGTGATGGGGGCAATGGTGGGGACGCATGGGGGCCATGCAGCATGTCAAGATGGCAGTGCGAATGGAGGGGCTGGTCATGGGCACGTGCAGAGACCTGGTGGACCAGGCCTACAACAAGCTGGTGAGGCGTGGGGTGGGGAAGAAGGGTGGGGAAGAGGGGTGGGGAAGAGGAGTGGGGAAGAGGAGTGGGGAAGAGGGGTGGGGAAGAGGGGTGGGGAAGAGGGGTGGGGAAGAGGGGTAGGGAAGAGGGGTGGGGAAGAGGGGTGGGGAAGAGGAGTGGGCAAGAGGGGTGTTCATCATGTTAAAGGCACCTAGTGTAGTGTGGTGAGTGACAGTGTTGCAGTGCTGGCGGTGCGAATGGAGGCGCTGGCTGGTTATGAACACTTGCAGAGAACAACATGCTGGTGAGTGAGGTGGGGGAGGAATCATTGGGGCAATCCAGGATGTGGGCACTCATAGGGATGTTGGTGGTCCGCGCGAATGGGAACGTGCAGGGACCTGGTGGACCAGGCGTACAACAAGCTGGTGAGAGAGAGAAGGGCGTGAAGGGGGGTGGGAATGGGTGCAGTGGGAATGGATGGGGCAATAAAGGAATGGAGGGGCTGGTCATGGGCACGTGCAGAGACCTGGTGGACCAGGCGTACAACAAGCTGGTGAGGCACAGGGTGGGGGCAGGTATGGGGAGGAATGGGGGTTGACTAGGTAAGGGGGGTTTGACAAGGGTTACATTGATTACCAACAGCTGCAGGGACCTGGTGGACCAGGCTCACAACAAGCTGGTGAGTGAGAGGGGGTGGCGGGCATAGGCCAGGATGGGGGCGGACTAGGTATGGGGTTGACAAGTGGCACCGCTGCAGGGACCTGGTGGACCAGGCTCACAACAAGCTGGTGAGTGTTCTCTAGCTCACTGGTGGTTGACAAGTCTCTACACTGGATCGCATAGTTCAGATCGACCCCAAGCACTGCACTGCTTGGGTGCCCTTGCCTCCCACTCCCTCTCACTCTTTCCTCCTATATACTCATCCTCCCTTCCCCACCCCAACCCTCTTGTCTTTGTCCTCCACCACAACGTGAGCACCATGTTCTCTACGCTGGACATCAAGGTGTGTCTTGAGGCGCCTCAAAACACACCACAACGTGAGCACCATGTTCTCTACGCTGGACATGAAAGCTCAGAGCGGCCCCAAGTACTGCGGCATGCTTTTTCCATCCCATATCCGCCTCTCTGCCACCCTACGCTCCCCCCATTGCCTTCCTCCCTTCCCCCTCCCTCATTCCTCCCCCCCATCATCTCCAGGTGAACACCGTGTTCTCTACACTGGATCGCATAGCCCAGATCGACCCCAAGCACTTCACTGCTTTGGCACCCTTGGGCCTTATTTCTCTCCTCCCATATCCCAATTCCCCTCTCACCCCTCCCCCTCTCCCCCCACCCCCAGGTGAGCACCATGTTCTCTACGCTGGACCGCATAGCCCAGATCGACCCCAAGCACTGCACTGCTTTGGCACCCTTGGGCCTTATTTCTCTCCTCCCATATCCCAATTCCCCTCGCACTCTTCCCCCTCTCCCCCCACCCCTACCCTAGGTGAGCACCATGTTCTGTATGTTGGACCGCATAGCCCAGATCGACCCCAAGCACTGCGACTTGCTTTTTCCATCCCATATCCGCCTCTCTGCCACCCTACGCTCCCCTCATTGCCTTCCTCCCTTCCCCCTCCCTCATTCCTCCCCCCCATCATCTCCAGGTGAGCACCATGTTCTCTACGCTGGACCGCATAGCCCAGATCGACCCCAAGCACTTCACTGCTTTGGCACCCTTGGGCCTTAATTCTCTCCTCCCATATCCCAATTCCCCTCTCACCCCTCCCCCTCTCCCCCCACCCCCAGGTGAGCACCATGTTCTCTACGCTGGACCGCATAGCCCAGATCGACCCCAAGCACTGTGACGTGCTCTTACCATCCCATATCCGCCTCTCTGCCACCCTACGCTCCCCCCATTGCCTTCCTCCCCTCCCCCTCCCCCATTCCTCCCTCACCAGGTGAGCACCATGTTCTCTACGTTGGACTGCATAGCCCAGATTGACCCCAAGCACTGCGATGTGCTGCTGCTGGAGAATCATGCGGCCTTCCAGAACAGGTGGGATGGAACACTTGCTCGAGTATTTCTGTATGCCACAAAACTACATGAGCCTTCAAGTCTGTATGCCGCAAAACTGCATGAGCCTTCAAGTCTGTATGCCACAAAGCTGCATGGGCCTTGCTGTTTCTCATGTACGGAGGTACCATGCCGTGAGAAGGGCCGGAGGCTAGAGAGCCCTTTTTATCATGCCCTTCAGCTCCTCTGGCCGTCCTTCATCCCTTTACCTTTTCTCTCACCCTCATCTCACTCACCCTCTCTGGCCCATCCGTCCTCTCCAGTCCCCCACCCCCACAGCACGTACGAGTTTTGAGGCGCCTCAAAACTAGACGTACCCTTCAACTCCTCTGGCCGTCCTTCATCCCTTTACCTTCTCTCTCTCATCTCACTCACCCTCTCTGGCCCATCCCTCCTCCCCAATGCCCCACCCCCACAGCACATACGACCTGGCGGGCACCATCCCCACGCTGCGCCTCTTCTACCAGCAGTCCATTCCAGTGAGACGTACGAGACTGCCGGCTCGAATGGCAGCCGCTCACCTCGCACTCATTCTCCCCAATCCCCGTACCCTTCCTCGCTCTGCAGCACATACGACCTGGCGGGGACCATCCCCACGCTGCGCCTCTTCTACCAGCAGTCCAGTGAGACGTACGAGACGGCATGCACGCGCTACATCGACTCAGTCATCTTTGGGGTGAGCCTTCTCTCCCCTTGTGTTCCTCTGCGTAAGGCTATCTGTGTGCGACAAGGGCTCACAAGAAGGGGAGTGACGGGGAGGGAGCGGAGTGCCTCTTCTACCAGCAGTCCAGTGAGACATACGAGACAGCATGCACGCGCCACATCGACTCAGTCATCTTCGGGGTGAGGGCTCTTTCGCCTTGTGAGCCCCTCTGTGTGACTCTGTATGTGCCCCTGCATAAGGCTCTGCGTGGGCTCTCTGTGTGCGAGAAGGGCTCTCTACAGACGGCATGCACGCGCTACATCGACTCAGCCATCTTCGGGGTGAGGGCTCTTTCGCCTTGTGAGCCCCTCTGTGTGACTCTGTATGTGCCCCTGCATAAGGCTCTGCGTGGGCTCTCTGTGTGCGAGAAGGGCTCTCTACAGACGGCATGCACGCGCTACATCGACTCAGCCATCTTCGGGGTGAGTTCCCGGGTGAACGTTCTTTCTCTGCGGAGAGTGACAAGTAGGAGGAGAGGGGCCCTGCTGCCACTCAAGTGAGACGTACGAGGCAGCATGCACGCGCTACATAGACTCAGTCATCTTCGGAGTGAGCACTCGCTTCAGTCATTCCCCCCCAACTGTCCGTCCCCGTTCCCAACACATCCTTAAACATTCTACTCTTGCTGTTTGATTACCTTCAGAAGATACCATTCCTGTCGCTGACCATCTCAATCTCTTTGAACCCCCTTGCCTGGCACTGTCCATTCCCCCTACCCAACACATCCATGTGACTCTACCTTTGCAGAATCTCGACAAGCTGTTCGAATACCTTCAGAAGATCAAGAACCTGCTGCTAACCATTCCGACTTCCTTGATCCCCCGTACACTCTGTGCATTCCCCCTACCCAACACATCATTGCAGAAGTTTGACAAGCTGTTTGAGTATCTTCAGAAGATCAAGAACCTGCTGCTGACCGTTCCGATTATGTTGACCCACCATTCTGGTTTTGTTGACCCGCCCTCCCTGCACTGTCCCGTCCCCCCCCGACCCAACCCATACTTGTTATATTACTCATCATTGCAGAATTTCGACAAGCTGTTTGAGTACCTTCAGAAAATCAAGAACCTGCTGCTGACCATCGAAACAGAGGAGGTATTCGAGCAACCTCTAAGCATGACTCTAATTTCATCTCTGTCACCGACAACATCTAAGCATGACTCTAATTTCATCTCTGGACTACCCCCATGTACCGCTGGTTCCGTCTCTCCAATGTCCTCTCCAGCTCGCAATCTTTCTGTTCCATACTACTACGTTCCATGTCGCCATGTCCCTAGCTTGCTTCAATTTCCATTCCGAATCGGGATGACTTCTGAGTAGACCCCAAAACCATCACCCACTTTTGACGCAAGCGACTCCCTCATGTTTCATTCTTTTAGTGTGTGCTTCTAGTTCCGTTTCAAATCAGCTTTGAGACGCCACTCGTTGTCCCCTTGCCCTCTTGTGTGCCTCAGATTCCGTTTCAAATCAGCTTTGAGACGCCACTCGTTGTCCCCTTGCCCTCTTGTGTGCCTCAGATTCCGTTCCAAATCGGCTTCAGCAAAGCAGACCTGCGGAAAGTGCTCAAGTCACAACTCACAGGGGTAAGCTGAGAATGTAACCATAAAATTGTAAGTCCATTCAAACTTCACCTCGATTGAGTTCCAAATTGGCTCCAGCATAGCCGATCTGCGGAAAGTACTTAAATTGCAACGCACTGGGGTAAGCTGGCTGGAATTGTGTAGGACCGTAGGGTAACGAACTGTTGTTGCTGCTGATTCTCCGCATTAAAGCTGTCGAGTTTTCGGTGGCCTCTCTAGTCCACAATCTGCGATAGCATGCTTGGTTGCCCGAAAGTTTAATTTCTAGTCACAGGTGGACCAATTGCTCAACTCCATGTTCAACAACATGCTTGGCGCTTTAAATGACTCTTCTTAACACCTTCGTGCATTTCTTCTTAACACTATTCCATTACTTTTTCCTTTCTTTTTTCGCGAATGGTTGCAGGTGGACCGATCGCTCAATTCGATGTTCAACAAGATGAGGAAAAATCTCACGTCAGGAGATCTGCTTCCCTCGCTCTGGCTCAAATGTCAGGTGAGAACACTGTCTGAGTGGAAGCATGGTATGCTCGTTGCGGCGCCCTGCAACTGTGCATTTGCTTTTTTAGTCGACTCGAACAAGCCAGGTCAGCACGTCTTGCTGAGTAGTTGGCTCCAAGTGTAGTGTAATAAGGGTGGTTCAAAAGAGACGCAACGGTGTGTGCCTCCGCTTCGCACATCACATACTCGACATTACTTCTGAGTCGAGTTAAGAAACGTGCAACTGAGTCGAGCATTTTTGCCTAAATTCCTCAATTCTAGTGCTGTAATTCTCAACTCTTGCTTCGTTTCTTGTCTATGGGAAACGTTTGTGTGATCAGGAGAGCTTCATGGAGCGGTACGAAGAATTGGAGGCTGTGGTGGCCAAGTGCTATGCGAATGAAGCTATCAGCCCGTCTTCAAGGGAAATGCGCGATGCCTTCAACTCCATTGTTGCGTAGTTTCCTTTTCAGGGTATTACAGCTGTGTGCATGTCATGTGCCATTTCATTTCCCTCCTGTGCTGCTTACTGTTGTGGGTGTTATGCAATTCCTACTAGTGTGCTGAATACCATGCTTGTGTTTCTATAAGAACGCTTTGAAATTTCTAACTCCAAAGGCTTATTCAATAGACGAATGCAGACTTGAGTGAACCTTCCCCCCACCAGAGCCCTGACAGGCAGGCTTCCGCTGGGTGCCAAGAAAGTCAACTGCTCGTCAAAACAGTTGGGCTCACCTTGCCACCACCACTACTGACGGAATTGCCAGCTGGAAAACCTTGAGCGCTTTTGTCGTACGCGCAACCAGTTACATTTCAAGCTATTCGCTCTATTCCCGAATGTTCGCTAAACGTCGTTCACCTTGTGGGACAACAGTCAAAGTGATGCTCGACAAATGACGACAATCTGTGTGGACGAATGTAGACGAGTTACGAAAAGATGGTGCTAAACTGTTGCGACTTTGTCTGACGACGAACTCCTGGCAACAATACAGTAACCCTGACGAGTTTCGTAGAACGAGCTTCTGTCAGATAGGCCTGGGTGTCCCTCGAGGTGCCGAGGGGCGGGGTTGCGAAGTGCACACACTGAACAATCGTGTGCGACGGTTTTGCGAATCTCACGAATGTCCATTGCGAAGCTCACCAACTCCCAAGGCAATCGTCTTCTGGGTCTGACTGGAGCCAGACAGAACCGAGGCTATGGCTTCCAACTGCCAATCGCGGATGGGAAATATGGAGATAAGGAAAGAGACAAAGAGGCTTGAAGTCTAGGCTCTGCCAGTGCCGTCCCCCGTTTCTTTTACATTCTCTCATTTGTTTTTCGTCTAGTCAGTAGCTTCTGTTGAATCACGAACACCTGCTGCAGCTGCTGCACCCTTCACATCCTTGACTTGCGCTGCTGCCTTGCTGGTTCCTCACGCGTGCCGTTTCCCCTTGCTCCGGCCGACCAACCAACCATCCCTAGTCTGAAAGCCGATTCGCGTCACGCCAGCAGCACCTCCAGCGTTGGTTGTTACCAGCCCGGCAGAACTTTTGCAGCTCAAATGAATTTCTTGTGGGCTAATGGAGCGTGTCGGGAATATACCGTCGTAATAGCTATAGCGTCACCGTCAGCTTTCAGTATGTTCTGAAGGGTTCCTCGTCAGCTACACTGACCTGGTAACCCGTTCGCAATTGATTTGCCATTGTAGTTACCTGTTGTGTCCCCATTGTCGCGAAAGTGGACCCTTCCAGGACCCTCGCTTTAATCCTTCGAAGCATTGCCCGGAAGTTCCGATGGACTGCTGTCACAGCTTTCTGATGACGTCACTAGAATAGCTCCTAGAAGAAATCATTTCTTACAAGCGAGTTGACTTCACGTCCAATCCCTGAAGAGTCGACGTTCACGTAAATATTCAACCCTAAATCCGTGCTAGGCTAAGTTACGACGTGCATTCGAAGACGGGCTCATCTAATATACACCACTTTCAGATGGTTACCCTAATTAGATAGTTACGACTCGACATCTCGTTACTGCTCGCGAAGGCTTTCGCCGACCAATGGCGGCGGCCGGATCAGCATTGACGTCGGTGAACGAAGGCGACGAGAACTCGCTGTTCTACGATGATCCCGATCTCGCCGTCGACGATTATATTCCCAAGGACCGTCATGGTAAGACGGAAAGGTCCTTCAAGGTTCGTCAAAGTCCGTCAAGACCCGTCAATGTCCGTCGAGGTCCGTCAAGGTCCGTCGAGGTCCGTCAAGGTTCGGCGTTTGAATCGACTCAAGCTGTGATGACATGGCGAGAACCTTCTTCTTCTACGCCATTGGAGGTTATGTTGCCACCGACCTCCACGGTACGAGGGGGAGGTCCGTCAAGGTCAGTCAAGGTCCGTCAAGGTAAGAACACGTTTTTCAAAATGCGGCTACGCACACAAAATGAGTCATTTTGTGTGCGCTTTTGTCGTCGCCGCCAGTCTCCGTCAGGGTAAGTGTCTTCGTCGCCGACGGTTTCCGTTTCCGTCAGTTTCGTCGAGTCCGTCAAGTGCTCCTTACATCTGTCCGAAACCTCGCCTCGACCTCCGCCTACTCACATTCTCGTCATCCGCCAACTTAGGGTTTCCGCAATCTCAGATAAGACCACGTTTCGGCTGAACAACACACCAACCTCCCTTCCTCCCGCCCCGGTTCCCCTTTCCGGCCACCCCATTCCCCCTGAAAAAAACCCTACTATACTCGAAGCAGTTGCGAGAAAACCTGTCGCATCTGGCCATTGAGAAGGGCCAATATTCGGTTAAAGGAACTCAGAATTCCGCCCCCCCGCTCCCTTCCTTCCGCACTCTTTTCCTCCCTGCCCCCTCTCCTCAACCGCTCCTTTCCCCTGCATAAACCGTAACGATAATTAAAGCATGTAGGGGAGCATTTGGTGGGAAGGATCTGAAGACGCGCTTCTCGGGAACCGCCGGAACCTGCAGCATGCCCCCCGTTTTCCCCCCCTCCCTCCTCCCCTCCTCCCGCCTCGCTTCCCGCAACCCTCGCCCCTGCTTCATCGCCCCTGGCTCCCTTTTTCGTCCCTCTCCCGCGCCCACACCCCCCTTCTTTATCCTTCACACCTATTCACACCCCTCTCTCTCTCTCTCTCTCTCTCTCTCTCTCTCTCTCTCTCTCTCTCTCTCTCTCTCTCTCTCTCTCTCTCTCCCTCCCTCTCTCTCTCTCTCTCTCTCTCTCTCTCTCTCTCTCTCTCTCTCTCTCTCTCTCTCTCTCTCTCTCCCGCTCCCTCTCTCCCAACCAGACTTGGAGCTGATGAGGGAACGCCTCTCGAAGCTGCTGTTAGGGGACGACCCCTCGGGAGGCGCCAAGGGCTGCGGGCCCGCCCTCGCCATGGCTAACGCCATCACCAGCGTCTCAGGTGCGTCAGGTGCAACTTCAGGTATGGTACACAGTCTCATCTCATGTGGTGTGGA